ATTATAATGTACAAAAACTCTCTTCGTTCGTTCACATTCACATTAAATAACAATATAATCATAGGCAAAAAATTAATGTCGTTTATAAATAAATACAATAGTTCAATGATTTTATTTACTATGAATTCGTCATGAGTATAATGAATTATTATTCATTATTATGCATTGAAATCGATGATAAAATATAAGCACTAATGAGATGATAAGAACAACAATTACAATAATTATAATAATGATGATAATAATAATATAAAATTTCATTTATTATTATTATAAACAAATGAATTTCATAATTTTAAGTTAAAAATTAAGATTATTATAAAGAATTAGTAAAAATTGAGCATTGCAAATCATTTTTAAAATAAATCCAATCAGAAACTACAGAGTGAATTAATATGGTAATTCATTGCAACCAAGCTGAGTCTATTAAATAATTAAAATGTAAAGCACGCAATATGGTAGAGGAAAATATAAAGCAACGATTACGATTGGCAAACGTATATCGCTAGCGTGTTTCAAGAATCCATTTTCATGAGTCCGAGCAATCAAGAGGCATCAAAAAAAGGAAAAAATATTACACGTGAGAATATCCATACATCATTATAGCATTGTATAGCGAATATCTGGTAACTTTCTAGTGCGAAAAATGAGTTATAAATGGGACAAACAAAAAAGCAATAATTCTGGGCCTCGAGAAATTGCAAACATAAAGCATTAAAGGCACCTCCAGAACTTCACATATGCCGCACTTCCTGCGGAAAGAGAGGCGAATCACACACGGACTCTTCAAATTTATCATTATTAAGTATATTCTTTCCCCATTTGCTTATATATCCCTTATAAATCCCAATTTCCTTTTATTATCCTTGCTTTTATATTTTATTAATATTTGAAATTGTTATTCACACATATTAACGCGAATTTGCTCATTTTATATTCCTTTTTACCGTGCAAAAATTATTAAACATAAATTAACATTGACAGAAATATTTTTTATATGCGTGGTTTTATTATTTCTTATAATTCGAATGCATCGAATAGGTTAGAGAAAAAAAATTTTTTCTTTTTAACGCTCTCTTTTTAGATTTCAATAAAGAATGTGGAAGTAAGTACAATTCATGTAATGAGCACCAGTCAGAGCAATTATTTTAATTACAAACGTTGAATGGTTGCCTAACCAGATTTAAGAAAATATTCAAGATTTGTTCATTAACTATATTTTATTTTATATATAACAGTAAAAATAAATCTCTAATGAATTAATAATAACATTATTTATTAGGCTAAGATAATGAATGAAGCAATTATCTATTTGTATCATATAATTTTTACATTTGTTCGCATTAACTTTATAAATAACAGCTATTTGATTTCTCCATATGTTGTCTAAATAAAAATATATTTGAATGAAATTCCAGTATTAGTATATTATAACAATAATTTATTATTGTATCATAATAATAGGAAAGCTAGAGATTTTAATATTTTTCTATAACAAAGGAAATAGTGTACTATGGTACAATGGCATTGTAAAATGGTTCTTATAAATTAAAATTAAAATTTTAATGTAAAGATTTATTTTTCAATAAATCCATCTCAGTTTTATTTGGTACATATATAAAAATTATTATTTTCTTAAATCACCTATTAATTTATGTTTAATTAATATGCATTTATGATAATGATGATGATGATGATGATGATGATGATGATGATGATGATGATGATGATGATGATGATAAATACAATTAGTATTTCAAATGCATGTATGTTATGTATGAGTGTATATAGAATTGAATTTATTAATATCAAATTAATGAGGTACACAACACTATTTTGTTTCACAGATATAATTATAGTACACCAGTAGTATATCTTTATAAAACAAAAGTAGAATATATATAACAAACATAGAATTCTTTACACCATCGCTATATTTACTATATTTTATTTATTATTATTACGTTTATTTATTTTGAACACTATCATTGAACATTTAACGTTGAATTTAAAACAGTTGTATGAAATCTATGAATATCTAAAAGCATTATCGTACGTAAATAATTTCCATTAACATACTTTTCAATTCGTATTTTATAGTATCACGTATAAAGCTTGCGTTAAAATATCAGCATTTTTAATGATGTAACTAAAATTATATTTAATATTTCAGATAACTAATGAACTTTATTATTAGTTATTTTATTTTTTAAAAGAAAAATGTGTATAAATAAATATACGAGCATGCACGCGCTTATTTACGCATTCGCACCAACGTTACGTATTTTCGAGTCACATCTAAAAGCTAATTGCCCACTTTATTAGCACGATTTTTTTCGAGGAAAGTATAAGCAAATAGATAGATAAAGATAGATGAATAAATAGATATATAGATGATAGAGTGAGTGAGTGAGAGAGAGAGAGAGAGAGAGAGAGAGATGAGCATATCGTTTGCGCACTCACAATTCATGAAGCGAATAACACAGCAGACCGTGTGTAATATCGTAACCGTGACCGATTTGTTATTAGCTATTAGTGTGGTCGTCGTGTGGACGATGATAATGGATATGTAAACCCAAATATTCATTTATCCGGTGATAAGCGTATGTGGATAGTACTATTCATAACCAATGTGATTAATCAGTTTTTCATCAATCGCGTTTAAATAGCATTGTTAAATATATATGCATTGATGCATAAGTTTACGATAGTGTCCAAGTTGTCTCTATTCGAATAGTTTTAGTATGCATTAATTTTCATTAAATAAAGAAAGTGAAATTGCACATTATGATGTACTTTCAAAAAGACTTAATCTTACACTATTTTTGGTTAAATTAAATAAGTGTTGGCTACGTCCGTAATATTACAATTACAATCGAATTTTAAATATTCTTCTATTTATGTAATGCATTAGTGTAACCCACTAATGGAAATGAATATTTCAACGATATTATCAAGTAATTGTAAAAAAAAATAATTTAAACACCTTCATGTTTAAATTACTCTCTAAATAGTTACAATTTCAAATTATTAAGTTAATTATTTTTTTCTAATTTTATTATATTTTTGTTTTCAAATTTGACTGGTTGTATTTTATTTTCTTCTAAATTCAAAATTCAAAATTTTAATTTAATAAATCTTATTATAGATCCAAAAATTTTGACATTTTTTATTTCAAACAAGCACTATTATGTTATTTTAGAACTTTTTCTAAATTAAATATAATAATGATAAATAATCAATATATTAATTTTATTAAATAAAAAGGTTTATATCACTTACTTATACTTTATTTTAAAAATTAAAGAAAACTTAAGAATAAAATATACATCTTTTAATTATGTGGGATGAACAATTGAAATTTCTTAATTATAACTATCAAGATGATTTATGATAATTTTTAAAATTACTATCAATAGTCAAAGTATCTTACAACTAATGTTACCTAAATAATTAAAATAAAGTAATGAAAGTGGTAGTAGAAAAGGTATATTTACTTTATTAACTGTATTCAAGAGTACAGTGTCACAATTGTGTATACATATATATTAAATGTATATAGTATACTATGCTCAATGGATATGCACAAACAAATGCATTTTCATGCATACATAATTTGCAATTATGCAGAACTTATACCAATATCTTTCATTCTTGTACATTCCGCACGTATGCTTTATAATAGCATTGTCAATTAATGGTCAATGTTAAATTATCTTATCTTTGATTGTTTATATATGGTCAGTGCAAAAAGTTTCTTTGTACTACTTGTGAATGTGTTATGCACCTCTGTATGCACGTGTATGGTGTTAGTATAAAAGTGCAATTGATCAGAAGTACATTATCTACTTCTGTAATAGCTATTTTTTAATTACTACAAAGTACTTAACATTTGTACTTGTATTATTTAATAGATAGTTTCCAAAAATATTTCCCGATTTATATAGATTTTCTTTGTAAAGTAAGATTCGTTTATCAAGAAATTCGTTGTAATTATTGATTATAATTACAACAATTGTCTATTATTGCACTTTCCTCTTCTTTAATGAAAATGTACTTTTAAAATCTTTTGAAACAATGTTCAACAAGAATATACAACATCGTTTGTAAAATAAAATTTTAAAATTCATGAATTTATAACCAGCATTATGCATCTTATTGGGATATTCAATACTTTTATACAGCACTTAATTTTTAGAATACAGTGAATAAATAACTTTCTTCATCGCTTACGTGTGTGTTTTAACAGTTTGACATTGTATCTCACTTAACTATGAACACAGAATACACATTCACAAAACACAGTATAGCTACAAAGTAATAATATAGCAGAAAGCAAGAACAAAGTACTAATAAAAGTAATTAGCGCCCTTATTGCTTAACGACAATAATAATAAAATCTTATGGTTTTACTAGATACATTGCTAATTGCAAAATTGCAAAGGCAATTAAAATTCATTAAATATGTTTGGCATATATGAATTTATCTATCCTTAAGGGTTTAGGGTACAGCTCAATTGCGAATAACATTTAAATTCATTTTGTTTTATTATGAATTTTAATTTTGTACATAAAATATAAAAATTTCCCATTCTTAAAATATATTATTATTTAAAATTGTAAGGAAAAAAATTCAAGCTCAAATTCTCTATCAAATTGAGTTCAATTAAAATTTTAAAATTTTCTTAAAGCAATATGTTTTAATCATTACATTTCTGAAATATTCTTCTTCTTATAACATATAGTAGATAATGATTAATTAGTTTTAATTGTTGTAAAAAATAGTAACACAAAATTAAATAATTAGCTGAATTTGAAATATTGAACAAATACGAAATATCATAACTTACATTTTCTCATATTTATTTTATTTTTTCCGAAATTCAAAATTTAGTTTAGTTGGTTGCATAAGAAAATATTATCTCGTTTAATTATTGCACAATCGAAAAAGTATTATTTAAATACAAGCATGTCTAACAATTCGTGTTATAGTATTTAATACATAAAATGCTGGTGCAATTGCTTTACTTAAATTTTTTTTTTAATAAAGCAAAATTATCATTTTAACCTCTTCACTGTACCCTACCCTCTTAACTGTCATCTTTAATCGTTGGTCGAAACGAAGGCAACGAGTTCCGTCGTTGTACTGATTCATTTTCATGTGACAAAACCGTCTTAGTTTTATTCTCGCCAATCTTTTTTGATGTCGAATGACCATTCCCACTTTAAATGCTCATTTCTGTCATCGTCGGTAAATAAAGAATTGACGGTGTAAGAGCCTCGTGCCATCACACCGGACGGTGCATCTTCGGCCGAAGTTGTATATGATTGAATCTCTGTTTTAGGCGGATATGAACCAACCATGTGCGTCATTTTATCAACTGAGAAAATAAATTGAACATTAGAATGTTTCCAGGTAAATTCGTAAATTTTGTTGAGTAAATCCTTTATCAATTAAACATAATAGATTAAAAACTAAAATAATTCGATCGATAGATGTTTTAAAATGAAAGATATAAATATACAAAGGACTAGTATATAAAATAATATAAAGAATAAGATTATGTGGTTTATTACAAATAGATGCAAAATCTGTGTAGAAATAGATGACATATTTTTTTTGTTTGTATTGATAAAAAATATTACCTGTCACTTCTTAAGTAGTAAAGTTTCCATGAAAGCAATTATGAAGTAAGGAAAGCATAAGTATTAGATAAATATAATAAGTATGCATAAAATTTTTTCAAAAGAAATTACTTCATTTATTATTTAGCATTTTACTTATAAGATTAAAATATTTATTCAATTTGATTAAGAATTTTAATCAAATTTTAAATTAACACGATTTGCTAGAGAAAGTAGTTATTATAATTTTATAAAATATTTTTAAGATATACAATTTCTACATAAAATTGTAAGTAAATTTGCAATTATTTTTTGTTAAAAATTTATGTAAAATTAATAGTAAAAGCAAGTCTTTACCAGGTACACCTAGACGATAGGTCTTTTGCAGATATTTCAAGCCATGAACAATTTCTCGTTGCACAACAAAATCAATTCGAATTTTGTAACTAACTCCTTCTTTAATAACAAATGTTTGTTTCTTTAATTGTGTCAAATCACCCGTTAAGTCTAACTCCATATCAGGTCGATCTGTTACACACAATGCTAACTTTTTAACTATAACTTTCCTGGGATCATTGGGATCTAAAACAATTAAACCACTCACTTCAATAGGGGTGTCTTAAAAAAAAAAAAAAAATTACATCAATTGTAATTCTAATGTTATTATAGAAATTATTATAAAAGGAAAAATATAATTATAATCGTAGTAATTGTAAGATATGACGCATGAGCATTAATTTAAAATTCTAAAGTTATATTTGTAAAGTTCTTGAGCTTTTAGGTTCTATTAGTTAATTTTACTATATTTTTTTACAGAATAAATAAATATATATATATATATATATATATATATATATATTAGAAATAATATTGAAAATAATGATCACTATAATTCAAATTATACAAAAAAATATATTTATTTTGAGAGCTAAAATAAATATAATTTTAGTACTGAACTGTCATTTTCTTATAGTTCCCTTTTTAAACATATTTAAATATAATTTTATCATGTACAAAACCAACATTATTCTTATGAGCTTTTTTAATTCATTAATTGACTTACCAACAATTACTCCACCAGCTTTAGCTTCACCCAAAAGAGTTTCTTTATATTTTTTTAGACTCTCATCTTCCTTGTCAGCCTCTAGAATTTGTTCAATCGTTTTTTCTGGTGGTGGTTTGTAATTAGATTCAACTTCCAACTCTTCATCCACTGAATCTATATGATCCAATATTGGCTCAGACATATTTTATCTGTTAATTAGAATAGTAAACATTTTTAAATAATTAAGGCAAAGAGGAATTCGCAAAATTATTAAAATATCAACTACTGGCATAATTATATAAACATACAAAAATTAAAGGACGAATAAAAATATTTTTTTAGTAATTATCGGTACGAGCAAGATTTTAGAATTGTCTCGAACAGTATATTAATATCTTTACGAGTCGAAAAGGAAAAATAACAAGGCTTCTTTCTATTTCTCACACACACATTCGGATTCTCTGACTCTCTCTCTCTCTCTCTCTCTCTCTCTCTCTCTCTCTTCGCTGTCTAGCTAACTCACTCACTCATTCACTCTCTCTCTCTCTCTCTCTCTCTCTTTCTTTCTCTCACTCTCTCTCCAGGGGGTGTTATTCTCGTTGAAACCAAAAAAGAAACGGGCGACAAAAGTTTTCTTGAAGCTTAGGCACAAAAGTGATTGACTACAAAGTGTTTTAGCAATGTGCAAGGACATCACACTATGGCACATCATTAATTCGCGATACGCGCTCATATGTTTTTTATATTATTAGCTAACTTATACTAAAACCATTGTTAAGCAAATCACGAAAAATATCCATAGTGCATTGTGCGTACGTATTCGGAAAGATGACAGTGCGAGTGAGCTTCACGTGCGTTTCTTTTCTCTTCGCTCCAAAATCGGCTTTTCAGTGGCGGTATAACAATATAACACGAACGTGTGTGTAAAGTCTAATGTGCGCGCATGCATATACGCACACACACGCGCGCGCGCGCGCGCACGCACGCACGCACGCACGCACGCACGGACGCACACATGTATTTACATATATATTTACGAATGCATGCGCGTGCGCATGAACGAATATGTAAAAAGTAAATAATGTAAACGGAAAAAATTTACGAATGATACATGCATGTGTACGCGCGTGTGTATATTCAAATGTGCGCGTGTAGTTATACACTTACGTTCGGCTGAATTTCGTCTCGACCTGACAACCTTCTGTAATCGAAACGACGAAATTATCTTGGCAATATTAATGCTGCTTCGAGGTTGCAATTGTTTCTAGTAGTGCCCGTAGTATTATATATTTAATTCCACAGTCCAATGCACACACGGGCGGTAATCTATCGCGGCAACTTTTTTTATTTTATTATTTTATAGAGCCCCGCCGCGCGACCCACGGCAGAACAGAAAGCCACGAACAAAATGGCGCCGAGTATATAGTGTGAGTGCCGGGCACTTTTGCACACTTCGCTGACGGTTATGGGCGAGTATATTTTTGAAAATTCGAAATCGGTCGTTGCACTCAGCCCCTGAATTTCTCTCTTGCGCGTGCATTATCTTGTACACTTTACCAGTTTATTTTAGTATTTGATTGGAAATCGTGTGATCTACATTCGCTATGCTCCGATTTACTTACACTACATTTTTCTTATTTCATTTAAATTGGATTTAAATACACAAGAGCCATATATGTATAGCTATGTAGAAGAAAAATATTGATTTACAGCGCATGTTCTAGTTTTCGATGCACACACTTTAAAACTATAGGCTTAAAAAATGCAGGTTGCATATAATAGTGATAAATTTGATTTATTAAAATTTTAATTACTAATGGTTGTGAAAATGAATTCTTGAATTTAATAATATACACATTATTTTATATTTATGGGTAAAAAAAATTCGTGTTACGTCCAATACATCCAAAAATTACCATTTTTAAGTGTATATAAAAATAAAAATTATGAAACACATTTTAATGAGATTTAAGAGAAAAATAGTTACTACAAAATTTCATATAAAATTTCACTGATTATTAATAGATTTTTCAACATTCTCTTCAATTAATTCTCTTCAAATACCATTGAATCTAATGTCAAAAAATAAATAAATACGTCTATTGGAATAAATAACAATTTCTAAAATCTTAAATACAATTAAACTTTATTTAAGAATATGAAATTTTTTAACATCAACCCGATATGATGTGTTATTATAAATTATTGCTAATTAAAAAATATTTAATATTTAATTTAATGTAAAAAAAAAAAAAGTAAAAATTATTTTACAGTTTTATTCTTATTGTTTTACTTTAAGAACTCTTTTCTTTTAAAGAATTTTGAGCAGACGTTATTAATTGGTCTAAGGCTTTCTGATTAATGAAATTTGATCGAGAGCTTTGAATTTTTTCGATTAATAATTCAGGATGAATCTTCATAAGTTCTATTAAACAATCTATAATTATAATAGGCAATTAGAATAAATGTTAATATCTGTCATTACCATTTAATGGAGAAAAAATTGTTTACCTAATGTTTGCTTTTGAAATTTTTCTGCAGGATCGTCAAGATGTGTCAGTGTCTTTGTATAAACGTATTCAATATGAACATAACTAAATGATAGATCGTAGTCTTTTGGTAAGACCCTCCATATTTCTCTAAGTGCTTCGATAGCTGCAAGACGCACTTCATCGTGAGAATCTTCTAGATGAGTCAATATTTCTGGACTAATTTGATGAATGTGGTCTTCTTTGATGTAACCCATTTCTTGGCCAATATTTATCACAAGACACATAGCTTGTAAGGAGTATAATCTAGTTTTGAATGCATCATCTTCCATTAATTTTATAAGAATTGGTCTCACTTTTTCAAATAACCATCCAAAATGCTCAACAGATATAACAAATTTCTTTTGCTTATGCATTTTATTTTCATCTTCTTCACAATTATCTACTATTTTATTTAAAAGTGCACATAAGCAACAAACAGAAGCTGTACGAATTGCTTCTGCCGATCGGCCGGCTGCCCATGTCAGTCCAGGAATAATTACCGTTTCAAGAATCATATTTGCAAAATCGATAAAAGCAGTGTCGTTTATAAGTGGCTTATCCCACTGTTGTAGATATTCCGAAAGTAATATATATTGCTTCATTCTTACTTTTTTATCGCCGTCGACGTTGGTGGTATTTTTAAAAATGGGATGAATTAAATCTAAATTTTCGTATGATGCAGTTTTCGCATAAGTTAAACAAGCTTGAAAAATGTAAAATTCATAAGAGTGGAGTATCCAAGATTCAGGGCTATATTGAATTGCACTCAAAGTAATTCTAATGTGCTTACAAAAGAGCTGATTTAAGTTTTCAAAATTTTCAAGTTTTGCTTGAAGCTCCAATAATTCAATTGCAATTTCTTTTATTAACAATTCTGTAGAAGTTGCTAGTGTTGTAAAAATTACTGTAAACAGCTGATCGGCAATTTTATTACAATCTTCTTTACAAACATTAAGAAGAGATCGACAACTATTTAAAAGTTCTATTTGATAAAGAAATTTTCGACTCTGACAAATATAATTTTCTTGTAAGAAATTGCCGATTCTTAATAATTCCGGAGCAAGCGTTTCTTGCATACTGCCTTTTAATATAGCAGCGAAAATCTTCAAATGTCCAGGTGTAGGATTTTCTTCAATAGCAGGTATAACTAAGTCACAATAAATATTAGGAGGAACAAAGTATCCCATATACTCTGCAGCCATTTCAATATTCTCTACGACCCTTTTATCCTCGTCATTACAAGCACTTAAAACAACAAATTTCAACGAATTATTTAATAATAATAATGAAGCGAATAAGCGCTTAAAACTTTTAATACCGTATCATGGGAGAAAGTAATTTTGGAATATGCTGTGTTACATCCTGTTCAACGTTTAATACAAGAATGCAAAGTAATTGTGCTGCTCGAACTTTAATATCCGCCATCCAATCGGTTAATTCTCGTGAAATTGCTGTGATTAATTTGGATAAATTTTGTTGGACTATTGTGCGACATCCTAAATTTGGTCGATTAACTGTAAAGAAAATGCGACATTGAATTGCAAAGATATGTTAGAATTCAATTTTGAAAATCTTAAGCATTATTATTATTATTATTATTATTTACTATTAGGTGGGTAGTGTGGTAAATCGTCAGGAAGAAAATCCATTTTATCTTTAAATTTTTTATCAGATTCATTCTCTTTCATATATTGTTCTCCAACTGACATCCATAATGTTGTTGCTTTTTCACGAATTTCCGAAACTACGTCATTTATTCCGGTAAGTAAGAGAGGCAATAATTTATACCACCAACTATATCTATCTTTTAAGTCGGTCATCCATTTTCCAACTACTTCAATAACAGCTAGAGAAATATATTAAATTCATTAAAAAAATTAATTGAACATTGAGAAGATGTAGAAGATAATGTTCGATTTAAAATTAATTTTATGATTATTGTATTAATTATTTAGGAAAAGGCTTAATTACAACTATAGTTTCATTAATAATTTCAATTTGATCATATATACCTGTTCTAACTGCTCCAGATTGGTCGAATAATCGTTCGGCTAATGGACCTGACACAGATTCTATTAATTTACTATTGCCATAAAGTAAAACTGCACCCAATGTTTCTACAGTAATCGTTCGAATTTTATAATGTTGATGAGAAATATTGATCAATATTGGTTTAATAAACGACTCCGATCGTGAGTAAAAGTCACTCGGTATTGCTTTGGCAAGATCACATATGCAATAACAGCTTTCTTTTTTAACATCCGGATATTTATCGGTAACCGTTCTTGTTAAAATTGTCACATAATCTTCAAAATAAGCTTTCATTTTATTTTGATATTTAAATACAATAGCTCTTAATAATATAACGCACTTTAATCTGACTTCTTCAGATTGTTCAATTAACTCTTGTGATCCCAAACGTTTAGTCATAATGGGTATAATATATATTATGTTTTTGTCAGAACATGGCAGATATAGTAAAAATTTTTTTAAAATGTCTAATGCCAAGTCTCTACAAGCTTCTGCTTGGTCATGTAAAATTCTTACCACTGGTCGATGCAAAACTTCCCACAATTCTAATGAACTTTTTTCATCCAATGTTTCAAGCGGCATCAGAACATTTTTTAATATTTCTTGTAGTGCATTCTTTCTTTTAAGCTTGTCTTCCGTTTGTAAAAATGAGCAAATTTTACTATGCTGCATGTCTATTAATTGAGACATTATGATATCTATTTTCAATAGTATTACTGGTTATATTTCAAAATGTCTCGTAATTAAACAATCTCAATGTCACTATGGCAACACTATGTTGTATCAATATCTAAATATAGCAGAAGGAAACAGAAAATATTATAATAAACATTATTTTTGCAATGTTAATATTGGCATAAACATAATATATTGAAATAACTGTTTAATAGCTAATAGGATATAGTCATTTGATTAAACTTTGAATCTCAACGGCATATTTTAAATAAGAGTATGTTTTTTATTTTACATAAAATAATCATACAATTTTATAACACTAAAATCTATGTTTTTGTTGTTTTATTTGTAATAAAAATTAAAATTATGCGAGAAACTAAAGATATTTGGGATATTGATTCGTTGAAATATATTAATGAAAAATGAATAATTACGTAGAACATTAATATGTCGAATGGTGCAAAATGAAAAAATGTAGAAGTGCTACTTCTAAGGAATTATAAAAAATTCTTCATGATCATGTACGGTATATCATTATTAAAAATAATAAATTGCTAATGTCAAATAGAACAATTATAAGATATTTTTCTATTTTGTTAAGATATTATATTAATTAGTAAAATTGCCACTATCTTCGTTAAAATAATTTTAATGACGTTTTATAATTACAATAATTTAAAATATTATTTTAAAGTTCTAAATAAATTGATAAAGCATAGTTAAATCTTCATTAGTTTCATTTTAATGTGATCATCACTATTTAATTACATTCAATCGTCACGTGCGATCTATACATCTATATAACATTACAACTTATGAAACGAGCGATTAATATTACAATGATAATAATAATAATAATAATAATAATAATAATAATAATAAAATAATAATAAAATAATAAAATAATAATAAAATAATAATAAAATAATAATAGAATAAAATAATAATAGAATAATAAAATAATAATAAAATAATAAAATAATAATAGAATAAAATAATAAAAACAAAATTGCTCAATTTTCTATAGCAAATTAAAAAAATTTCTATAAAAATAAATAATTTTACATCAAAATTATTATTTTTTACAATGGCATGGAAAACAAATTGTATAGTAAATTTCTTTTAAAATAAAATGTTATAAACTTTTAATACACAATGATTGAAAAACCGCTTCCCCACGGAATGGATGTCGTCTTGAGTGACGTTTCTCTGTTACGGCTCTTGTATATATCTTGACTATATAAAAATATAAAAAATTATAGAAGAAAATTGTTTTCTATAATAAATGTTATAATACGTATATACGTGTAAATTAAATTTTTTTTTTTTTTTTTTTTTTTTTTTTTTTTTTTTTCATCTTGATATGGCGGAGGAATTGATGAGCTGTGTGATATACATATGTATACAGGTACCGACGATCGACTTGGATAATAATTCTGAGAACACTCAGTCCTCTAAAGTTACGTTTTTGAATAGATAGGACATTGATTCCTTATTGTGTATGCGTCGAATAGCTTCTGCCAGCAGAATACTGATATCTACAGTTTTTATTTTGTGGCACCGCATTTTTTGTAATTCATGTGGTATTGTATTAGTAACGACGACCTTCAAAAAGAAAATACGTAAACAATTTAATGGACTGAATTAAAATTGATCGATCGATTATTATTTAACGTGAGCGTGTAAAGTTAAAATCATTATTATCGGTATTATAATTGAATTAAAATTATGTTGAATTTAATTATATGATTCTATAAACAAGTGCATAAATACGTTTTAAAACTTTGCGTTAGAGTTTGAAATAAAGTGTAAGCTTATTTTTTCGTATTTATGTTCTGAGAAAATTAATGGCAAATCGAACCTAATTACGATCAAACTCTCGGCTAATTGGCAAAAACAAAAACAAAAACAAAAAACAAAAAACAAAAAACAAAAAACAAAAAAAAAAAAAAACAACAACAACAACAACAACAACAACCAAAAAAACAAAAGAAAAGAAAAAGAAAATTCAAATAAATATAATGATTTACTCTTTCGCCCCAAGAACTATATTATGATCAACGAATGTATCTTTTAAAGATGAAAATACTATACTAAAGGAAATGCACTCGATCCCATAGTTGATTTAATGTTGGAATTCAGTACGCGTGCTATTCGACTCTCTATGTTTTTATTTTAATTTAGACAATTCGGGTGAATCGCGTGATTATCGCGTGATTATCGCGTGATTATCGCGTGCCTTAGCAGGCTCTACGTTAACGCTCGATTCGAATATCGAAAAAGCGATTGCAAGACACAATGGCACAAGACTAATATCGTATTGCGTAAGTAAATCGTAGCCCACCTCGTCGATGGGAGACTCCTCGATAAGTCGGGGCGCGTCGGAGCTCAGGAGCCCGTGCGTTGCAAGTACGTAAATCTTGTAAGCACCCCTCTCCTTGAGTACCTCGGCAGCGGCGACGAAGGACTGTACATCATCCACCATATCGTCGACCATAATGGCTATGCGCCCACCCACGTCTCCAACCACGTTTATCGGTGGTTTCTCCTTAGCCGGGTGCACGGGTACCCCTACTCCCACCTGCATCGTTCTCAAGGACGAAAGGGTCGGAGGTGAGTATCGGCCATCGTTCATATCAGACTCCGACTCTCGTTGCTCACCGTGAATGACGGCAATGCCAAGGCGCAGACGTTCCGCGTAGCTCGTGGCCTTCTTCGCACTTCCTGGATTTCTCGCTACTATCACCGAATTCCGATAATCTGGAATCTGAGACGATTGTTTCGTTACTTTTTGTGTGCAGCGTTTTTACAGCGAGAATTCAGTTTGATGGATTGTGCTTCATTACTTTTCTTTATATTTCTTTCCTTTCATACGTTTACCTAAAATGTGCCAACGTGTAAGGTGTACATATAAAAAGCGCTTAAAGTCATTAAAATAACGTCATGAAACATGTGATATTCACGGCTTGTCTCAATTGTTTGTAATATTTTTGGTTAATCGTTTTTTTCTTTCTAATGAAGCTAGAGAAGTAAAAAAACACGAGACATTTCAGTGTTTGATTATTTTTTTTTTTTTTTTTTTTTTTTTTTTTTTTATTTGTTTTTGTTTTTATTAGATACAACGATGAAACGTACTTGCTTATAAAAAAAGATAGATTACGTATTGATGTGTGTATATCAAAGTTTAGAAAAGACTTTAGTAGACGTGTAGGCGTAAGAACAATTGCAGATAGTAAAGATAGATAGGACTGTGTGCAATTAAATTAATATTAATGTATTTAAGCCTGTATTTATATTGTTTTATCATACTAACCGATTCTTGAATGTATTGAAGAAGGAAGGGACTAGCTCTTAAATTATCGACTGGGCAATCGAAGAAACCTTGAATTTCTTTTTGATGTAAATCCATTGTAATTATATGTGTTAGTCCACTTTTGCACATCATTTTAGCTAAGAGTTTGGAAACAATGCAGCCTCGTTTACGCATCTTACACTGTTTTGAATATGGCAGATAAGGAATAACACCCACGATACTTTTGGCTGAAGAAGTTTTACATGCGTAGGCCATTATCAGTAACTCCATTATATTATTGTTTACGTCTTTGGTGCCTGTCTGTATAATGAATATGTCTTTGCCCCTAACAGAATCTGCGATTTCAACCATTGTCTCTCGATTTGTCTTATAGTACACAGCGCATCCTCCATTTCTCACTCCTAATCGACTGTTAAAAATACAAATGAGGTACACTATAATTCATAAAAATAACAGAATTTCTTTAACTAATATAGGGATTCATTCATTTTAAATAATAGTAATTAACAAACATAAATTTATAAAGAAACTTTTTTTTCCTTAATGTTCACAGTTGACGTAAGTGTAGACAGTTCATTTACTTATAACACAATATATTAATTTTTTAATTCTGAAAGTCATAGATGCAATATTAAACAGCAAGCGCACAAATTCATACAAATAACAACTTTATATATTTGTGATAAAACAAACATTGGATAATTATGATTCTACATTTTGTCAAAATTGAATATTTAGGATATAAACATTTATTCGGCGCGCTTAAAGTCATATTATAAAAATAAAAAATTATATAAATTTAATATAAAAATATTTAATAATTATTGGATCTTACTCGGCTATTAAATTGGCTAATTCATGGTGAGAATTTCCGGCTATAATCACAATATCGACAGCAATTGGTCTATCCATATTACTATTGTCAATTTTGAAAACTAATCGAACCTAAAAATAATTACTATTAATTCTACAAAAAGATATACAACAATTAGTGAAAACAAAATATCATTTAAATATATTAGAAAAAAAAAAAAATAAAAAAAAATAGTTTATGATAAGAATAATTTGTTTGCGAAAATATTCGAAATAAACTACCTTAATTATTAGATTTATGTAACAATAATCAGAAAGTAAGCTAATATAATATACAAAAAGTCATTATAGCTGCTTTGATTATATTATATCTTAAAAAGTACATTCGTAAATATCTGATATATACATTGACATTACGAAGTATTACAACTCTTATGCAAGTAAGTACGAAATTTTTCAAATTTTATACTTACTATTTCTTATTATTCGTGTGCAAAAGCAACAAATCAGCACGAATATAATGTAACTACTAAGTTTTATTTTATTTACTATGTAAAAGAACAGCTGTTCAGATCTCATTGCTACCAACTATCACGAACATAATGATTTACCATTGATTACATTTTCTGCGTTCGTGCCGGTTATTCGTGCATATGTAGCGAGATATGTGTTTACGGACTATCGAAACTGAAATTACTTATAGAATTTTATTACTAATATAAGTAATTTTATCACGTTGGCAGCGTATTCGAAATCAATTTAGTGCACCTTTGTGAAAAAGATAGCTTAAAAAAAAAAATTATTATTATTGCATATTAGACAAAATTATATTTACAATTATGTTATATTACACTATGATATTACTATTGTTGTCCAAAGAAATTCTAAAATTTAATCTAAAATCGTAATCTGAAATGTGGTTATGGCCATATATAAGAAAATTCGTAGAAAATTAAAAAATTACTTGCCTTAGAAATTCCAAATACAATAGGCTAAAGTATTTTACGTAACAAAATTTAGTGATGATAAGCCGAACTAATGTTTAACAAATTGTTGTATTGCAAAATCTCTTCTTTTTTTTTTCACAGCAAATACATATATTATTAAATTTAATTAAAATCAATGGCAATATAATATAATTTGCTTAACTTATAAAAACATTATTGATGCCCTTTCATTGTCAGTCCATGTATGAGTTTATAAGTAGCTTATGAAAAATAAATAGGCATTAATTAAAGTAAACGCGATACGCCTATCTTGTGCATATGTCCGTGTAATTACACATGCAAACGAAGAATTTGATAAATAATTTCCGAATTATCGTTATAAAAATTAAAAATTAATATAATTTTATACAAACTAGAATGTATATGATAGATAATCTAACATTTTCAATGATACTAATAATTTAAATTAAATTTAAAACATTATAAATTAAAGATAAAATGTATTTTTAGGCTTAAACATTAAACTGAATATAAGAATAACTAATTTCAGTGGCTACTAATTTCGATATATGCTATCAAAATTTTCTTTTAGAAAAAATAATTTTTATCGCATTTAATCAATATATTATCAATTATCAATGTTAAATTTAAAATTAAGTTACCTAGAATATATCAATTTTCAAAAAATAACTGATGTTTGAACTATACAAATTATTATAATGAATAACTACGATTGAAATAAATTAACTCGATCCATGAAGAGTAATTACAGCAAATAAAATTAATATTTTAATTGAACGTTGACAAAGTTGTTCGATGTAATTCTAATCAAAGAATTTTCTTAATATGAATATTTAACTTCTTTTTAATAGGAATCAAAATTGACATAAACCTTTACCTAAACTGTACATATTAATAAATAAAATAATAAAATTGAATTTTATCGAAATTGAGTTTTATTTTGTAAAGCTGAATTGGTAGTTTCTTTTTATAATGTTTTTTTTTTTTTTAGCTAATAAGGCAAAAGGTTAATTGCTGAAATGATCCGATCAACGATAACTATTAATTAAAAGTCAAAAGAAATCGGATTTATAATAATAATATAAAGATAATACTTACTAGTAGTAATATTTTATTTAATAAGCATTAGTGCTTTTTTTTTTTTTTTTTTTTTTTTTTTTTTTTTATAAATATCTCTATTTAGCTAGAGGTCGGTAAAATTTTTACAAAAATATATAGATTAATATTCATCTGATAAGAATAAAAATATGCACATTTATTTTTTATAGTTTTAAATTTAATAAAGTTAAACAAATCGAAAAAGATGTTGACATAGGTTGAATGTAATTGAATTTTTATTTCACACATGCGATTGTTCGTAATTAATTTAATGCAGACGTGTAATTCAGTTGCTGAAAATATTTTATCTTATTTACCTATTCATAATTATAGATTGTACAAGCTACAAATAACTGATTAAGAAAGATATTTTATTTTCCATTGGCTAATGGAGATCATTACTTGTGGATATTGTACTTGAGCCTTTTCTTACTCGAATCTCTCAATTCAAATAGTTATGCAAAATAATAATTCAAAGATTAAAGAAAACAATTTAACTTATTAAATTACATGTACTTCATTATAATGATATTGCGTACATTTGTTTAACCAGTAGTAAATCTATTTATATGTTAGCCTGCGAAGATAAGTTCAGTGTTGTTGAATCAATAATGTAGGCTCAAGAGTATTTTTACAAAAATAAGTAAAAGTCCACCAATATTACGTGAATTTTATATCACGAATGTATCGCGATCTTTCAAATACTTGAATGTGTTGTTAATCATCAATCACAAAAATGCTATAATTCTGATAACTAAAAGAAAAATTTAAGATTGTGATAAACTAATGCGAAACTCGACTTAAGGCTTTAACGTGATAAATTAAAAAATATTATGGCACTTATTCAATGATCTTCCAATTTATTTTTAATATATATATATAGAAGAAACAAAATATTTTCTTTGTATTTGAAAAATTTGTTTCGATCAATTAATAAAATTGTAAGTGATATATAATTATTTATAAAATTGATAATATATTGATAATTGATAATGTTCACTAAAATAGTAGATTAACATAAGAATTGAATTCGCGAAACAAATAAAAATTTTGTAACAACAAAATATTTAAATTAATTTATAACAAATAAACGAAATAATATTATTAATTCATACAATGGACCATTTATTAATAGAAAGCACGTCATTAAATTTATTGTCAAATTCATTAATTATCATTAAAATACATTAGAAATCTAAGTAATTTAAGAATAATAAATTGTTATTTATTTAAATGTTCTAGTTCTAAAAGAAACTAATTTCATTATTAATAATATCCCTGAAAAATTTAAAGGAAAAATCGTTTTAATTTAGGCGTTTATTTCAATTTCATAGATATTAATGGAATGTTTATAAAGATTGTGTGCTTTAGAAAATGAACATTTTGTCTTTGTAGTTCCAATTACATTTATTTACTAAATTTTTCATTTATTTAATTTTTAACAAAGAAGAATGCTCTTGTTTATCTTGAAAGAATCAAATGAATAATACTAATTCTCCATTGATTGCCTACAATTTTATCAATGCTTAATCCCGTATATGCGCTTATGAATTTGTATATATATATTATAAAAAATTATCGACATAAAAATTATTGATTTTGCAATTAAATATTATTATTATTCTTAACTTCATCGTAGTTTTTTTTTTTTTTTTTTTTTTTTTATATCGATAATTATCGATATAGTGATGGAAAGAAGTTGTTAAGACCCTGAAAATTATCATTAATTTTAGAAATGCAACATTACTTGCTAAATAACTTAAATTGTTCCAACACAAGGTATCGATACCATTTGAAATATTTTTTTTATTAATATGATCTGAGCAATGAACGAAGGATTATACAGATGTCTTATGCATAAATCCAATGGGATTTCATTACACGAATATCAAGGTCAAAACTCTAAAAATCTGTACAATCTCTACAATTGAAAAATTGTAATGCCCTTGTGTCTTAGAATGAATAGGAATTCAATTTATTTGAATTGTCGAAAATCGCTCGCAACCAATCATTTTAATTTCGATTCTGAATAAATACAAAAATATTGAATGCTTTTATGTTAATTTGATATTTCTCAATAATAAGAGAATTATTAATTCATAGATACATGAATTTTAGATTTTATTCTAAAATAAATATATAAATAAAATGATAGATAATTTACATATTTATAACGCACAAATTATTAAATTATTATATATATATATATATATATATATCTATCTATTTTCTAAATAACATAAAATATAATTATTTATTGTAAAAATTATTATACATAATAAATGGATTTATTAATAATTCGATACATACAAACGAAAATTTAGATAGTGCACTAGAAAAACTTAACTCTTATATTTATTGTTGAAATATTGTAATCGAACACTATTAGCTTGTATTGTAAAAGTTTGTTATTAATTATATATTATGAAAAAAAAAGAGTTCATAGTTTATGAATGCTCCTGGGTTCGTTTCAAAATTTTATTGTCAAAATATTTATAATATAATAGCTTTATAACGAAAGTCAATGGTATCAAAAAAATTTATATACAATTATGTATATTTTTATATTTCTTATTTCCTTAACGACGAATTATTAACCAAATAATCTAACAACACTTAATGTAGACATTTTTAAAAGGACACTATAAACAAGCAACAATCGCGACTTTTAAATTCAATATTCAAATAATATAATTAATGTTGACAGCTTAAAATCGGTCCTAACAGAAATTATGTATCTAGAAAGGAAATGTCAAGAAAAGTGATAGATTTACACACTAAAATATAATTAATCTCAAAATTTTTGCCCTATAAGCCTATTTACAGCCCATTATTAGCCTGTAATGAAACACTCGAGAAGTCCGCGTTAGCCGTTAGCGGCAATCTTACCACCAGAATTAACGACCACCAACATGCTCAATAGCAATGTTGCTTACTCAAGCGCTAAACAACCAGATATTAACATTATAAAGTAAAACCAATTGTTTAAATTTGAGCCTCTCGTTGAATCGGTGTCGTTTGAGAATCGACGATTTCACAGATCTAGCGCTTGGTAATACAGTAACATGAATAAAAAAGTCTGTACTTTTATAAGTACAAGTCGCTGTTATTACTAAAAATTTAAGCACTCGAATCCCTTCCCGTGTTCAAGTGTTTTGCTTCGATTTCTCAACGATGTTTAGTCGAATGTTAAGTGCATTCGAGCTATCCGTTTGATCAAAAATACTGGCAAACTCAAGACTTACGTAAATAGATGTGTATCAATAGATTAACATTTAAAGGATAGATCCTTATTATTAATATTAGTATTTTTTCTCTTTAATTATATTTTATAAGTATCTTATAAGTATGTATTCAATATTATTTATAAAAATTATTGATATATCGTACATTTTAAGAGTTTTCGACTTCAAATTTATGATCGTTCAGTTATCAAGCTGTCGATACTCGCTAAATAATTGTTTTCGTTATAATAGTCGTTCCTGCTCTGGTATTTATCAAAGGTAAGACACAATTTGTTAAAAATACGTAATTTGAATTTCTTAGCTTGAAAAATATGTATTGTTAATATTTGAAAATTTTTGAGAAAATCACTTAACATTAACACAACAGCACCTAATACATAATATTTAATTTCTATTCACTATCTAAATTAAATATAAAATTATTTATATTATCAATATTACTTGTGAAAT